AAAGTTGAATTTAAACTTCATTTATTTAGAAAATTCATAACATGGAACGTTAAAACAGACACATACCGGGGCAAAGCAAAAAAAGCAAATGACCGGATGTATTACAACTAGAAATGTTTATATGTGCTGGTAACAGAACGGTAGTGATCTTAGACCCAGCTATGACATATTGCTGTTTATATAAATAACAAAAAAGTGATTTAGACAACAGTTCATACTGTCCTGTCATTGCCTACAATGCTCTTTTGACTACTCTTTTTGTTGCGCAAGTGATCCGATAGAGCTGACCCATCATTGGCTTTACGGTCGCCTACATCTTCGTCTTCGGAAGCCCGAAGATAATTCGGAATTAAGAACAACAACAAAAAACTTCAGCGATAATGAGAGTTAGAACTAACTAAAAGTAACTCGCCTTCGCTACCCGAAGACGACGACGAAGGGAAGAGTAAAGCCAAGTAGGTTTGACAGAATCGAGAGGCCTTGTTCAACAAAGAACGATCTAAGAAACACGGAAAGGCGGTGACGGGCAGGCTATAAACCATTGTTTCCAATAAAACTAACAGCTAAAACTTGGTGTGAGGAGAAATAAAACTATTGAACATGAGGCCCCGACATGTAAATGTTTCCTTCCCGACAGAGACTGCAATTTATCTCGGCTATCCACAAAATGAAACAAATGTTACCCCAGTAATGCGCATTTGTGTTTGCCCCCAACCAGAGATCGACAACACCGCAGTGCTTGCGCGAAAGACGACGACAACCACACGGTATCGATGCAACAGAGTCGCTCGCCACATAGCTGGCCAGCCAGCTGGCCCCACTATGTCCATGGCGGGCGACAACGATGGCAGGAGAGCCGCGGCACGGTTGATGCACCCCTCAACATATGAGCCTAACCATATCCAACGATGATGATGATAATTAAGAAGATGAATGATGAATAAAACTACAATTATGCAAAACTACACACACGGACACACCTCATTACATTATTAAGCAATTTCCTGAATTCTGAAGACAAAAAAGAAAACGAACGAAAACGAATAAGAGGAAGAAAAAAAGATGAATAATGATGGAATGTGTGTAAGCGTTCTGTGTGAAGTGATGAAATAACTGTTTTTGTTAGGCTTGACGTGAATCACGACACTTATCTACTACGTTTTCTACGCACACAGCAAGGGACCACGACGACGACGATACACTCGGCTTTTTCAAATATAAAAATCGAGGTATGGCGACTCTCTGACCTAAGGACGTATAAAGCAATGCTGAGGCATGGATTCAAATGGTATCACTAGTAACACGAAACCCGACTACAAACTGCATCAATATGCACATGTGTTGTTCCCGTCCGCTTGTCCAGTAGGAATGGCACCACCTGCTATTTTAATTGAAACGGCGATTCCCTGATTGAAATCGGCCACCACCACGACCCTTAAAAGGAATGATTGAAGAAAACCTAAATTAAAGAAAATAGAAAGAAACATTGATTTATGGAGTATCCCTTTCTGATGAGTGAAGGAAGCTTGTTAAAAGTAGAAGTATAATATTGACGGCAACTCACTTGTTGATATCCCCCTCTATGCCCACCACCGTAGCCACCACGATAACCACCTCGCCTTTCGCCGCCAATCGACTTGCTATAGGTAGATGGAGGTCTTTGAGGGGCACTATGTGATATCCTGGGCGCATCACTGACTGGACCACCAACTAAAACCGAATAACTTAGAAAATGCGACGTATCTCAAAAAATAGTACCAAAAACTGACTTGATTGTTGCGATTTCAACGGGCAAAAAACAGCGGAATGGGAATTTTCGCCGGTTGCACCACACAAACTGCATGAGCGCTTGCGCAGCTCTGGACAGGTCACTTTCCCATCGGGTGCGCGGATCCTATAATTAACTAGGGTAAAATAGCCAAATATTGAGTGTTCAATTTATACTCACACATGAGAGGTAGCGACTTCCTCTGATAAGCCAAGATTACGACAAAACGTGCAATCCAGTTTGATGGGAGTTGTGGAAGTGTCTGAGGCTGGCATCGGCTGCACAGACGCCAATGGTGGAGCGTCTTTAATGCGCAACTCTAGATTTTCCTTTTCTGGAAGCTCGTCTTCATTGAGCTCCTTCTCCTTTGCCTGCACAACCTCGGGCTTCACTGACATCACTGGGGCTACAGCAACTATCGGGACTGTTGTACGCTTATCATTTTTTGTCTCAGCAACTGAAACACGAGTTTTTCTCGCGAACGTGCTTTCACGATAGTGATAATGGACTTCAGCAGGATTTCGATTACCTGTGGGCGGAGGAAGTTCCTTGGTGACCTCGGTCTCAGGAGAGGGTTTTTCTTCAAGAGGTGACTCAGCTCTGAGGGGAGCTTCCGTCACCTCATCTTTTTTCTGCTCTTCCTCCACCACAGTCTCATTCTTCTTTTCTTCTTGCTCCTGCTGCACTGTTTCGACTTCAATTCGGTTCATTTCACCTGCTTTCAGCGACAACTTTTCCACTTCAGCACTCGCAGCAGCTATCATTTCTGCAGCTCTTGCATCGTCTTTAGGTGTTTCAGCGACGGAACTTTGTCGTGAGAAGCTTTGAGGAGAGTTGCTCTGCTGAACAGAATTTACTTGAGTACAGATGTTACTACCCACCTATGGTAAGCAACATGGTAACGACTGACCTTGCTCTTAGGCTGGAATGATGAACTGTTGCGGAAACCCGAATTCGTACGAGAACTGCGCCCTTAAAAGAATTCTGACGTTGACAGAACCCTCGAATAAAAGTGCCTTATAACAATTCGAACCTCGACTTGGTGAAGATTGCATCATATGTGGCACACCAAAATGTGGGGTCACCATGAACGGTGGAGCCATTCCACTTGGTGGGAATCCGTACATGCGAGGATGAGGTGATGGACCGTATCCAGCTGATGGTCCTACCAGCGGTGGAATTGATGATGTTGCGCTACGCGATTCATTTGATGATTGTTGCGGTGGCATCATTCCCATCATTGGCTGCACGCCAGCTGGCATTCCCGGTGGCATACTCATCGGTCGCACGGGCTGAAATCGGGACACATTACCCACCACCTCATAGCTGAATTTGTAAAAGAGTTTTTTGCAAAACACAGCGACATCGGCATCCCTCGATGTTAAAGACAGCAGATAAACATTGTCACCGGAAAGCATAAAAAAGCCCAATATCACTATCTCCCGAGCGCTCTACGACCGCTCAGTGAGAAAGGTGCACTAAATGAATCGCCCTCAGTAATCTGGAATACACTACTATGGAACACGTCTTATCGCAGGCCCAACCCCAAGATTTTAGAAAGACTCATTTGCTATAATGGGAGGATTAGCTTAAGCCCCTCAATCTCCGTCGACCTTCTACACCACGTTGGTGAAAAAAAGCAGAATCTAGGAAAAGCGTATCTGAAGCGCATCACAGTAATTTTTCCTGCTTGTGAAAAGCTTAATGTTAAAAGTGTTTTCGGTACCTCACACACGTCAAGCAAGCGTCATAAGCAAGCATCTCAAACATCTCACCTGCACTGGTGCTATTCCAGTACCAAAATCGGGCTCACTGAATTGTTCCATAGCCATTGGTGGTTGTTGTTCCACAACGCCTTGCTGGTCTAAAAACCGTGTTTCACAATACACTCCACTCAAAAATACAAAACCTTAAGTAAAAACCAACATGGCGCCGGCGCCTGGTCAGCAGCTGCTTGATTCGGAGGCATAGGGTGAACAACAAATGGCATAGGAACCATAACATGTTGCGACGGCTCTACAGGAGCGTAGCCGACCTCTGCTCTTGGAAGGAATACCGCCTGGAATGCGCGGCAACATAAAAACTGATATGCACAAATTAATTTTACACGTTATCCGGAAAAACAGTGATTGAGAAGAACATTCGGCTAAGAAGAAAAAACCAATGATACCAATGATGCAATAAAACCAAGGCAACGTACCGGCCTCACTGTGGGCTGCATATACATTCCCGCTGGCGGATAATGCATACCGGCAGGAACGACTTGCTGTCCAAGGTATTGAGGAGTCACCATCTGGAAACCCTATCCTCACAAAATCGATCACTTTGAACATTTAAATCGAGGAATTACCTGCGGATGTGGTACCGGCATAATAAACTGGCCACCGCCACGTTGCTGAACAGTTATCATCGCTTGAGGTGGTTGATTCATCTGTGGTGGGGGTTGTTGCTGTTGATGTTCTTGTTGCATAGGCGGTCCACTGTAGCCAGGATGTCCATTGCCGGCTTGGATCTGATTCGAGTAGAGCGAAAATCAATAATACCTCGGCAAGGCTATTGCACCTTATTACTTTACAAATGCGCGACATTAATCAGGGAGGACTAAAGAAAGGCAGCGCGACGTAAGTTCATTTATTGATCGAGTTGCAGCGCCATCAATGCTTCCCACTATGCCATGTTGCACAAGGATTCAATGCAGACCAAAAATAACTGCTATTGGATTGTGCTCACTCGGTCCTCAAAAACTATAGCAAACGAGAATGTGCTCATAGGCGTCGCGGCTCCCTGCGCCACCTTCTCTGAGCTTGTCAATAATTCTTCCTTAACCTTGCAGCGAATGAAACGCATAGATTTGTCGCTTCAGAATGAGGGAAGCAGTTAACTTCGACTGCTCGAGAAGCTCAAAAGTATGAGAGAATGAGCAGGTCAGATGCTGAAGCAACGAATCCCAAGTAACATGAGAAATCGCGCCTTCCTTGCCAGTGACCTAGTGGAATTCTTCCTTAGCACTGTTAAGATTGACAAAAGGCGACGCAGTGTGACTATGAACCCTTTTTTCTTAATAGGAACGCCATATCAATTGCCCTGAAAATAGGTACCAAGTTAAGAGACTACCAAGAATCTTGTTAGCCACTTTTTTAGATACCTTAGGTGGTCATTAAAAAAACAGAAAGCCAAAAATGGGCAGGTCAGTCATGACGATGAAGAGTTATTCTACTTAACTCGAACTTCATGAAATTTTAGGTATCAATTCTTTCTATAAAAGCTCACAAAAAGAGAATCTTTGGCCTGCGCCATAATAAGTGGCACGAAGAAAACATCTATTATAAATACCAGAAAAGAACTCACCTGTTGATAATTTACAGAATTGGGTGGAGGTTGATTGGGCGAGTAATAGTGCGACATTGGTTGTTGCATTTGATGAGGTTGCACCTGATGTTGCGATGGGACAACGTCGCTCTCGTACCCTGACGGAATTGGTGGACGCTGAAGCGGCATCGTGCCCATTCCACCACCACCTCCCATACCTGATGAAGTATATTATATGATAAAATGGTGTATTTCATTTCCAGAGCAATGTCAAACAAATAATCAATTCTTATGGGGAGACAGAACAAATGCGCTACATATTTCGGTAGTGGCAAGCTGATAACCTTACCATAGTATCCCATATTTGAATAGTTGTTGCCGCTGGAATTTCCTTGATGGTTGGAAACTGAAGTTGGTGGATG